AAATTAAAATGTCTGAATTCCACCTTGCTGGATCCAATCTCTTGCACATTTGTCCCCGTCTTCCTCCAAAATAATAAAAAAATGAATCAGAAGTAAAGGAGTGGAACTTTTCTTCATCTAAATGGCATTCCCTTAAACCACTAAGCAACGTGACTAGCCTGAAACACTTCAATTCCAGGCTGGAGGAGATGTTCGAGGGGAATAAATGAACTGTTACATTTTGGCCAGCTACATGATGGAGAAACTCATTTGGCCAAAGTTACTCTTGCTGAAGGGGGAAGGGGCAGGTATAATAAGAGATGGGCCAGCAGCAGCCTTGTCATTAACCGAGAGGCTGAGAGACCTTTGCTGCCTAATTGGCACAAGCTCCCCCCTAGCAAAGCTTCGGTTACCAGCGGGGGAAACAGAATGGCAGCGGCAGGCGGTTTCAATGACCTGCTCTCTGCTGTACCCAGATAGACAAGCAGAAGTTGCCCAAAGAACACCTGACCTAATAATGGAAGAAATGGAAAGCTGATGTGTTTTTAATGACAACAATAAACCTCATGAGAAAACTGCACTCCAGGCTTTGCTTTTTTAAGAGCTGGGCTGGCAAGGTTGCATTTAGAATGACTCTGTCCTGAATTCAAACTTATTTCCTCAACTCTTGATTTTTGATAGTTGCAGCAGTTCTGAAAGGCTGTTTTTGCCCCAAAACTCAGCAAAGTCACTTCCTAACCACTTCCATTATCCTTCAGGCCCACACTGCTGTAATAAATATGGTAATAATAATAAACAGACGAGTGGTTCTGTTCGTTTTTCTCCCACAAATACAGAAACAGTAAAAAGACGCATGTGTGATGAGTGAGGGAAGTTTGCAGATTTATGGCAGCTTTAATCTCAAAGTGTCACATCTGGAAGAAATAATGACAAAATGAATATTGAAATGAAATATTAACAGGAACCGGGGACATTCACCAAGAAAAGAAATTACAAGGATGAGAGAGGTAATCACAGAGAACATTGCCCAAAATAAGTTTATTTTATGATAGTAGAACTTGGAAAAACTCATTGTCTAGTTTTGGACTTCACTCAAGAAATGTTATGAAATGTAAACATTGACAGTTCACTGGGCCAGACGGCTCTCATAAATTAAACTTCTCAGATTCTTATTTCACCATCTACGTTACTCAGAAACATCTGTCTAATGAATCCTGGTTCGAGTGTTTAAAGGAACAAATGACAGAGGCAGAGATGAGGACGTTCAGTCATGTAGGTTTCTTAATGCAAAGAGCTGTGGCATATTTCAACACGTTCGAAAATCAAACTTTAAAGATCTATAAGAGGCTGATAGATCTATAGACAGATGGATAATTACTCCTTCAATTAATCTGTTTTGTGACTAAGTGAACATCTGTTCTCTCAGTCTGGCTTTATAGAGACAGTGTTGGTTCTTAAGGATGTCGTTCAGAGCAGCAATTCACCACAAAATAACACAAGAAGCAAATTATTTATTTTGAGCCCAAAATGCAAACAAATGAAATCTGAACTGGTTAAATGTCTCAGCTGTAAAAAGATCCATAGAATGGTGTAGTGAAAGGACATAATGTGTGAAAAATGTAAAATGTTGTGGTTTTGAGGCGATGTTCACTTGAAATCCTACTGAACTGGCACATATGTGGATGAATGTTGTATGACTGTTGTAAGAGTTTCATAAACACCTGACAATATATGGGTATACAATCATCTGGCGTATGAGATGACTACCTCACCACTGTTACATGGTGTCTTGAGATAGCCACGTCTCATTCATGTGACAAAACTGGCAGATTTTGACTCTTGCAATTCCTGCTTGACAATCCCAGTTATATCGTGCAACAGAGGTGTTATAGTTATGTGACGACATGTTGGGATCATGCTAATACAAGGCTTCTCCTCATTCAAGCAGTCTTTTTGTAACGAGACATCAGGTAGTATGGACCTTGGAGTAGAAGTGCAGAAGCTGCTGGAGGAGGGCTCCAACCTGGATGAGGACCAGGCTGACCTGCTGAAGGCTGCAGCAGATCTCCTTGTTGTTGCCAGGTCACAAGGGGCCTACACTGTCTGGCTCTCTGTGCTGTTTCTAATCATTCACAGTTTGGTTCCATCAGTCACCAAGCCTTCACAAAGTTGTTTCACAGTTCTTACACTTTCTGAGTCATGGCAACTAAATTGATTGTTTGAACTCAGTGTTTGAGGAGTGCTCCAGACACCTGCAACAACTCTGAAGACTGTTTTGAGAGAAAATGTCTGCTCAAATTTTTTGAACATGTTAAAAATCCCCTGTGACACCATAGTGACAGAGATGTGAGAAAATTGAAAACCCTTGTAAACATTTGAAAACTGAATGCCAGTGACATTTTGTCCTGAACAGTCACAGCACAGTGAGATACTAATTTACCAAACCAAGCTATGGATGATGAGAACATTGATGCATACTTTTCTGAAAACAAGACTCTGACTTTCCATAACTCTGTTATAATGGCAAGCTGATTTCTCGTTGATTAGTTACATAGGTTCTTCTAAGCTACTACCATATTTTCCGCCGTACACGTTGCACAGCCCTATAAGTCACATTAGTCCAAATATATCTAATAAAGTGGAAAAATCCATAAATATGTTGCTTCACTGTATACGTCACATCCATTATGTGCCATCACTGACACGTCATGTTTGTTACACGTCACCGCTGACAACCAGGAAATGTGGGCTGAACCCGGAAATGTGGGCCAGTGTTGTGCCAAAAATCGATGGGCTGCCAAATGGCGGCTGCGGGAGCATGCACGGGAGGACTTTAACAAGAATTTAACAAGATTAACACTTAAAAACAATTATTTGTTTGCTCAAAATTATAGTAAAGGTGTGTCTCAGTCTAACTTTTGTTTAATAAATGCATTTTGACGGTCAAATCAACTGTATTTCAAAAGCCGATACGCGGAAGTAGGAATGCACAGAGGGACGAGCCTCTGCATGTTTCTTAGAAATTAAACAAGATAAACACCTAAAAACGTTTGTTAGCTAGATTTTATAGTTAAGGTGTGTCTCAGTTGAACTTTTACTTAATAAATGCACTTTGACGGTCAAATCAGCTGAATTTCGCCGAGGCGGCACAGCAAAAGGAAGCTGTTCCGGTTGCTCCAGGCAAATGATGGTGGCAGGCTATGGCAAGCCAATTGTGTCATTAATAGCCACTTTTACCTATTACATAATACAATGGCATGCCATACTACTTGAGTGCCATCTAGTGGCTGAAAATGGTAGTGTTCGATTTTTTTTTAGTCAGAATGAATGAAAATGGTCATATCGCAGCCAAAAATTGGTTTATAAATATGGGAAAAAAACATAAATACGTCGCTTTGGGCTGCAAGTTGCAGGGCAAGTTATGCAAAAACTGTGACTTATAAGCTAAAAAATATGGTACTCATAACTCAGTGGTTCCTGGTCAAAAGGAACATTTAATCTACCTAGAATAAAACATGTTCATTTCAGAATCCATCTATGGCAGCACGGTGGCGCAACTGGTAAAGCTGCTGTCTCTCAGCGAGCAGGTCCCCGGTTCAAATCCCGGTCCGGAGGCCTTTCTGGGTGGAGTTTTCATGTTCTCTCCGTGCATATGTGGGTTTTCTTCGGGTCCTCCTGTTTCCTCCCATAGACCAAAAACATGCATGTTAGTCTTATTGGTAACTCTGAATTGTCCCTAGGTGTGAGTGAGAGTCTCTATTTGTCTCGTTTGTCTCTATGTGTCCCTGTGATGGATTTGCGACCTGTCCAGGGTGTACCCCGCCTCTCGCACAATGATTGCTGGACATGGGCACCAGCGACCCCCGTGACCCCAAAAGGAATAAGCGGGTAAAGATAATGGATGGATGGACATTAAGAAAGCCCTTCAGGACATACTATATACTCTGTGTGTGTGTATATATATATATATATATATATATATATAACTGAATCGTGAACATCTTCAGTAGAAGAAAAGTTTAGCCATTCAATGTTGCATCAAGCATTTCAACATTTAAAGATTTATTTAGATATCTAAAACTTTTTCCCCAACACAATTTTAACTGAGGCCATAAAATATAATTTTTGTCAAAAGAATATCATTTTAAATTAAATTAATTTTCATTCTGACAGATAAGAGTAGGAAAAACAATGCTCTTGTCTAAAAAAATAGAAATTTGTAGATAGGAGAGTGATTTATTCATAAATTATTTGAAATGCCCTTGAAGTTTGTATTTGTGTTTACATGTTAAAAAGTCTGGTCAAATCAACAGAAGATCTTTGTATCAGATAAACCCATACCTGTCTACAGGAACAAGAAGATACCTAACACACTCATAATGGAACAGGTTTGTAAAGAATGCAGCAAAATAGCTCAGACACTGGAGATACCTGTAAGATGCATGCATCAAGAGACGTCCTGGGAGCTTAGTTTGACATTAGAAACGTGTGTGTGTGGTGCTGCTGTGTGTGGTGAGTAAGCCACAGAGCAGACTGGCTCTTTTTCCTGTCACATCCCCATCTCATAGGAACGCTCTATAAACAAGAGGTGTGTCTGCCCGGGGCTACACCTTTAATTGTTTTCACTGTTCGCAGTCTGCCGCAGGCCACTCTCATTCCACAGATACCTTAAAATGCTGCCAAGTGCTAGATTGGTTCAATTTGAAATGCTGGGTAGAAAACAAAAAGTGATTTATCCCTGTGCCTTTCTCTTCTTATTCCTTTCAAGACAGGAGACTTGACTTTTTTCATCTTTCGTTTGGGCCTGTTAGGGCTGATCCCATCACTCATTTAAATCTACAGAAGTTATAATTAATGGAGATGCTGCATAAACATCTGACAGCATCATCATCTAAATACTATCTGAAATATGAGCCTCAAAGTCTATAATCTCCCTGACTCATCTACTGTGTGTGTGTGTGTGTGTGTGTGTGTGTGTGTGTGTGTGTGTGTGTGTGTGTGTGTGTGGAGGGGGTAGTAACCTTTAGGCCTTTGGATGCATGTATGCTGGTTGTCACTCAGGAGGAATCCTTCTCTGCAGCGGCACTCATAGCTGCCCATCATGTTGACACAAATCTGCTGACATCCACCGTTGCCTTCAGAGCACTCGTCCACATCTGTCAGAAAAACACACAAACACATTAATAAGAGCACTTCAAGACAGAACAATTACCGCACAAAAAATTGCTTGAAAGTTTTCAGAGATCAGATCATTATCTATTTAATGGAATTAAATTCCAAGGTTGGAATCATCTCGTACCTATTTTAAACTAATAGAAATGTATTTCTATGACAAGTAGTTGAACAGTGACTATTTTACCTGTTGCAGATAGATATATAAACGACAGTTACAAAGGGGTGTGCTGCTGTGTTAAAGACTCCAAGCTTGAAATTTTGAAAGCAGTGAATGAGAATGTCATTTTATAAATGTTTACACCACCACTGATTTCACATTACATAGTTATACTTGCAGAAATATTTTTATATTTTTTGACAGGTCTCTCTCTTCAGGTCTCTCTTGTAAATGAGTCCCTGAGGCTCAATGGGATTAGCTTGTATAAATAAAGGTTGAATGAATGACAGAAGTATCCCAAGCTGCACCAGAAGTGCTACAGCTAGCTGCTATTTGTGAAAACGACCACAGAAGTTCATTTAAATGAATGTGTAATGTAAAACCAAAGGTGCTGTGACGGTTTTAAAACTGTATTTTCTAAAGCCCCAAGTATACTCCCGCGTACGTCCATACGCGGAGGTACGCATGTACGTACGCGGAGGTGCGTGCGTACCCCCGCAGGGCATGTCCGTGCCAAGTTCACTTTTTATGACCGCGTACGCAATAAACTGCCCAGCGACGGACTGTTTTGTATGCGACACGAATGTATTAAATTCCCCTTCTTCATCCCTGATCTGGCCTTTTCTTTTGCTTTCTTTGCCAAGAGGCAGTGATCTCTTCCTCCTCCGTTGATGCCATGACTGAAATTGTAAGAAATGAAGGAATTTGTCACGAATGAATTAAAATCAGTCACAGCGTGGCTGTGGGAGGGTCTGTAGATTTCCTGTTGGGCTGGTCTGATGTGTGGGCTGCACAGCCAGCTCTCCCTGATTTTTAATATTTTTTTTTTAACATTTTATTAACAACATATAAACACAGAACACCGCTGCGTCTGGGGCTGCCAACTCTCTTTTTTTTTTCGACCTGTCAATCAATCCAGTAGGCGTGTCAGCAAATGACCAATCGGCGACCTCAATTTGTCCCAAGGTAAACGCCCCTTGTCTGCGAAGCTGCTCTGCAGCCGCTCAGGGTGGACGCTTGAGTATGAAGTCTGAACCCTTAGCGTACGTACGCGCGAACAGACGTACGCGGGAGTATACTGGGGGCTTTAACTATTAAAAAAATTATGAGATTGGAATTGATTGTTACAATAACTGCAATTCACTTTGTTCTTTGCCCTGATTGAACTAGCTGTTAACTAGTCCATCCAATCATAATTTAACTATTTTTCCAAACTGAGGCATTCAAAAGCAAAGTGGAAAGCATTTGAATGTTTTCCACATAATCCCTCGTCAAATAATCTGACCTTTGCTTTAAGTATACAGTACTTTTATAAAACGTTACTGACAAGGTATATAAATTTGAAAGTAGCATTTTTAAAGAGAGGCATTTTGCCCACTGCCTTGAACAGCAAAGATTTAAACAATCAATTATCAATCAAAATGTCTGTTTCAGGATGACTCTCAGCTACTGACGCGCCAGATTTTAGTTCAATATTTGCAAAAGTTACCGAGTTATAGCCATTTTTGTGTTTGCTAAAAAAAAAAAAAAAAGATTATCGGTGGCAGCAACTTTTAATCAAACTCTAAAAATTTGCTCAGTCATTCATGATTTGCTTTAATTCCCAAATCGTTCGCCACCATGAAGGACGAGTGAAAACAAATAGAGCCACTCATACCAGTGTGCTCGTCTTCCCCTTTGTTACTGAAATGTGACAAAATTCTAATCAATAAATCAATCCATCCGTCATGCTTCTTCCTTTTCAGGTCGTGGGGGTCACTGATGCTCATGTCTAGCCATCAATGTGCGAGAAGCGAGGGACACCCTGGACAGGTCTCCTGTCCATCATAGGGACACATAGAGACAAATGAGACAAACAACCATTCACTCTCTCACTCACATCTAGGGACAATTTAGAGTTACCAATCAGTCTAACATGCATGTTTTTGGTCTGTGGGAGGAAACTGGAGTACCTGGAGTAAACCCACACAGCACGGAGAAAACAAGTAAACTCCACCCAGAAAGGCCCCTCGGTCAGGATTTGAACTGGCGATCTTCTCGCTGAGAGGCTACATCTCTACCAACTGAGCTACTGTGCTGCCCTAATCAATAAAATAATTTTAAAAATTGAGGGTTTTGAACTGCAAGTTAAGTCTTACATGTAAACACATTTTTATTTAAACTACGAGAGGAGTGACTTGGTGGTGCCACCTGAGGATGGTTTGTTTGTATGACCTGGTCCAACACCAGACAGGCATTTGAAAGCTCCAAGTAGAAAGCACAAAGTTATAAAAATGCAAATGCAGCACAATCCTTCTGCGAGAGGGAAACCTGATCCACCTGGGCTGGAGTACCTGCTGATGATGAGCATCTGTCAGCCCCTCTGACAGGAGGAATGCAGGGAAGAAGAAGAAGGTGGCGTGTGGGGGATATTAATGGAAGGAGACGAGAGAAGAGGTGTAGACGAGTATCTTTAGGCCCCGTTTACACAATGCTCTTTTTAGCTGTTGACTTTCGGCCATTGGTGTGCACAATAGAAACTGGTCTTTTCTGACACCAACAATTTTAGAATCCAGAATTTGCCGGCCTCTGTGTTTTCTGGACGTATTCCCGCTGTGTGAACGTTTTGCTGTGTCGTTCATTCCTCACTTTCATCCGCTGCAGCACCGACATGTTTATAACGGTCAGGACTGGGATGGATGGAGGAGCCGGGCAGAACTGGGTCAGACAAAAGAGAATAGGGGTTCGGGTCAGGCTGGTACCGGAGAACACGTCTCACGGGAGGAGAATCTCAGGTGGGCCCATTTCCCTTCTATCACCTCTTCAGTCACCGTCTGACTGTAAGATAACTGTTAACTGTTAGCCGTAGATGTAGGAAGCATATAAGGTAACGAGTATTTGTCCAAGCACTGAACCCTGAGGAACTCCATGACTAATTTTGGTGTATGATGAAGATTCATTATTTACCTTTACAAATTGGAATCTATCAGATAAATATGATTTAAACCAATTTAGAGCCGTTCCTGTAATCCCAATATCATATTCAAGTCACTGTAATAGAATATTGTGATCAACTGTATCAAATGCAGCACTGAGGTCTAACAGGACCAGTGTAGACACTTGTCCATTGTCAGAGGCCATGAGAATATCATCAGTGACTTCTACTAGTGCTGTTTCTGTGCTATGATGAGCTCTAAACCCTGACTGAAACTCTTCAGATTATTTCTTTGCAGATGATCACACAACTGACCTGCAACTATTCCAGGTCTCAGAAGGTTTAAAGGTTTGGATCTGGAGGTTTAGGAGAAAAAAAACGTAGCGTCGGTGTGAAATTGTACATGCACTCTAAAAATGGATACAGTCAATAGATTTTCTGTGCTTTTATGAGTAGATAAACAACAGCAGCAATGGGGGATAGCAGAGTGCTGTTTGTGCTCCTCACTCTCCAGTTTTCAGAGCTTCTGATACAGAACGTACATGTGCCGCAAGTTAGCCGAGGGTCTCAGGTCAGCGGAGACACATTTCTCACATTTTACAGTTATTGAACCTGTAACTGTTTTCACGCTCGAGGCTGAAGTACCTGCACGCATGCAGGTGTCATTGAAGTATAAAAATAAGTGACCTGGCAGGGCACAGCTAATTCATTGTTTTTTTTCCGTCTCAACATCTATTGTGATCACAGCATTGCCATGTTCACACGTAACATTTTCACATTCAACATCAAAAAACCAATAAGTTTCCAGGAGATTATTCACCTGTTAACAGGGTTTAAATGTGGAGGGGGGAGTGAATCCACTTCAAGCGTGTACAGCGATGGTTTCCCAAAGTTTTGCTTGACACCTTCCTTGTTCTGCTGCTGAGCAAGACAGACCATCTGACCACAAGAGTCGCTAAGATTTTAGCAGAAAATGAAGTGTTCTCCAGCTGTCCTATCCTAATGTGCCCCCTTCACTTTTTGTTACCCCCCACCACCCAACCCACCCCTTTGTTTTATTGCTGTGCTGCTCCGGTTAGCAGGCTCTCCTGTGCATTAGAGAAGTGCAGATACGAATAACGACAGAATGTGTCCTCATTTCCATCAGAGATCCATCCATCCCTCTGCTCGATGCATTAATAATCTTTTGTGTACACATTTTTTATTATTATTATTAATAAGCTGTCATGCAAAACTAATTTACTGTCTATTTGTCCAGTCAGAGAAGGCCTCTGGATTAAGTTTCCTTTCTAGGGAATTCTCAGCTTGGGAAACCTTAGACATTAAACCAGTCCCATCTTTTTTCCTATTTTTCTGCACAAATGCACACACAGATTTATCATCGTCTAAACCAGGGGTCTGCAACCGGTGGCTCTGGGGCCATATGCAGCCCTGTGGTCCCTCTGCAGCAGCTCTCGCCAGCTTTGACCAAAAACAACGTGGGATGTATTGTATTTATCACCTTAACAAGAAAGGCTTGTTTTAGCTCCTCTCTGCACGCAGAAATGCCGAAACAATTGTTTGTACCATTAAAGAAAGAAAAACCCACAATGGTCTCTGAAATAAATTAAAAATAATTACCAACACAAAATAATAATAAATAACAGCAAATCAACTGATGAGAATCAGTCATTGTTTTTAAATTGTGGTTCAACATAATGATTTTATAATTGAATAAAACAAACTAATGAAACGGTGAAAAGGATGGTAGCTAGAATTTTGCAACAACTTTTTGAGGTAATCAAGAGACTTCTGTGACGCTCTGAGACTTCTACACCTGTCCACGCAGATTTTGATCCGCTCCTCATGAGTAAACAGCTGCAGCTCTCAGGTTTGAAGGCTAAGCTGCATCTTTTAGCTCCTCCACAGAT